GTCTGCCTTGGTCCAAGTTTTTCTGTGGTTTCCTTGGATCACTTAGGCAAATGCTGAGGCAGTAATATTCCACAGATAATCTTTCACTCTCTTCTGTCTTCATTTCGTCCGTCTCATCTTTCTCACCCGAACCACCACCCACCCATTCCCACGATTTCTGAAAGCAGGCTGAAGAGAGTCTTCCGCTCTACCTTCCGGCGTAGTCCGGAGGGACTGCCCGCCCACCAGCATTACTGGCTGGTGGGAATGAAACACCCAAAAGTTTAAAAAGATCGAAAGAATTAACCACCCCTACTTCGGGCAGGTAGGTACTCGTACGTAACCCAACTAGGTACCAAAAAGCACCCCATTGAACGTTTTCGAAACAATAGAAAATGACAACGACACCGGAAATATTTTAGTTGAAAAGTTCACTTTCGATTATGCGCTTCAATTGCAATTATGTCTGAGATACGCCGAATAGTCTGCTTAAAATAATCACCTTGTATATTTCGTATTTTATGAAGGTGCAGTTTGCTAAAATTATTGTTTTTTATATTTTTATTTTCCATACTACAAAATAATGTTATCAGATTGCCTTCAAATGTAGAATAATCTTTTTTCTTATCTTCAAACCTCTTTTAATTTCGTTAGAATTACTTATCAACGTAAATAAAGAAATAAATTTTTTTATTATTAATATGTTAATATTATAGGTATTGTTTAACAGTCTCCTATAAATTGGATTCTAAGAATAATGACATCTAAGATAGATGTTGCTCTTTGTTGAATATTCAATAATTCTAGGTCATTAGCTAGAAGTGTAGCAGCATGTCGCCGTGGCAAAGAATCACAATGTTATAAACAATTTTAGAAACTCAAATCTAAGAAGGCGTTTAGCATTATTTATCATTGTTTATTAATTTATTTCTCCATATTATATCTAAAAAGCTTCCTATATGTGAATGTTACTGCAAAAACCTGATTTCATTTAAAACGCGATTTATTTAAGAAAAAATACTTTTAACATTCCTCTTTAGTCAATTCTAGTTTTGACTAGAGTTAGCAAACATTGTCGATTCATTCTGGTTGTGACTAAAACTAAATTACGGTAGGAAAAGACAACACCCACTGCTTTTGCTTGATACTCAACCTACTTTGGCTTCTTTTTTTGACAGTATTATAATTATAATAATCGGAAAAGATCTTCTACTTCATTTAGTTGGCCTAGTTCTGTGTAATTGCATAATTAATGTTAAATCGGTCGCCGCCGCCTCTAATAACTCTTCAGCAAGTAAAATAATAATCTTAAACCTCCCCCTTCTCCTCCTCCAGTTTTAGCTTATGTATGTTAGCAACAACTAATTTATTTCTATTTAATTAAGAATTACATTAGGTTTAACTAAGATTGTTATTAGACATTTCTAATTTTACGTACAATTAGTCAAAACTAGGATTGACTAATGAAGAATGTTGAAACTAGTTTGTCCTAGGCAACTGGTGTTGGGTTTTTACGGTATATACATACAGTTACTTATTAGGGTGATACCGAGCGGAATGGCCTAGAGGTTTAGACTTAGGCAAATGCTGAGGCAGTAATATTCTACAGATAATCTTTCATTCTCTTCTGTCTTCATTTCGTCCGTCTCATCTTTCTCACCAGAACCACCACCCACCCATTCCCACGATTCTTGAAAGCAGCCTGAAGAGGGCCTTCCGCCCTACCTTCCGGCGTAGTCCGGAGGGACTGCCCGCCCACCAGCATTACTGGCTGGTGGGAATGAAACACCCAAAANACACCCAAAAGTTTTTTTTTTATTAGGGTGATTCAAAGAAAATTAATATCTTTTTTCTTCTCCATCTCAAAAAAAAATTTTTAAGAGGTCAAAATTTTGAAATATTTTTAAAATCGTCGAAAATTCAATTTTGTTATTTCTTCGTTGTTTCACTGTTTTCTAAATTAAAAATGATAATTATCAAATCGATATTTTGATATTTAAAAGTCGCTCAAGATTTTTTTGAATTTCCAAGTAGATCTTTTTGAGCGCATCTGAACATACTGAATATTAACGACCTTTTAATTTTTTTTTTTCCAAGATCGTCTAAACTTTTTTTTGCGTCTCCCGCCATATTTGTATTATTTAGTATGTCAACTTCAAGAATAAAAAATAAAAGATCGTTAATATTCACGTTCAGATGTTATATATGTATGCCTAATACCAAACGACAGATTTTACTATTAGTTGCATATTTTCTGTAACTATTCCTGAATATTTCAAGGTCAGTACAAGGAAAAAGGACGTCTATCTATTGCATACTTATTATTATCGTGGCAATATCAGAAATTACTTCATAGCTTATTTTAGGAAATTCGCATCCTGGGGCCTGTTTAACTATGTAGATATTTCAGCGAACTACAACCCTCACGTGATTCTTAGCTTATGTTTCTTCTAAAAGCTTTTGTAATATGTATATTTGTACTCACACGGTTGGAATATAATATTCCTCATATTTCTTGTCCTTGTATACAATGAGCATGCACGTTTTTCCCGTGTTTCCGTCTCCGACAACTGTGATCCTTATATGGGTTTTCTTTTCGTCCATCGCTTACACTTACTGACATAAGTATTATTTATGTAACACAGACACGCACGTGCAAAACATGATCAATTATTAATTTATAAAATTATTGTATTTTCTACTTCCAATAACCATCCATAATGTCTTACTCTCGATATTATTTTTTTTTGTGTGGTGTTTGGTACTTTAGTAATAGTGTATTAGTGTGCACATTGAATGATGTAAGATAACTTAACAGTAAATCTTTTGATAAGATAACATTTTTTGATAAGCTGGTTTATTCAAACAATTTTTAACAGTACCGGACTAAGCGAATTGGTATTACAACGTTAAACAATAGAAATAGTTTCTCTTACAAAGTCATGTTTTTAGAGGAATTAAGATAAAATAAATAAACATGGTTAAACATATAGGGTTGTTCGGAAAGTCATTTCGTTTTTTCCCGACAGAGGATTTAATTGTATTCTTTTGCACCCAACTTCACATTTAAGCCGTATAATTTTTATATGCTTTGAGAGCTCATATAGCAAGGCTTGTGTGTGAAAAATTCCAACTAATTCTACGCAGTAGTTTTTGGTTGGTGCCCTTTTAAATATGGAGAGCGATAAGCAGCATTTTCGACATATCTTACTGTTTTACTACAGAAAGGGTAAAAATGCTGTTCAAGCCAGAAAGAAATTGACTGATGTGTATGGAGAAGGTGTGTTGACAGTAGGCCAGTGCCAGTACTGGTTCGCTAAATTTCGATCCGGCAATTTTGATGTCGAAGATGCACCACGTTCGGGAAGGCCTATATAAAACGCATACACTGGAATCAAATCTGGACCCATTTACGATTAATTATAGGTATGTTCCTATGTGTATATGTTACCGGAAATGTATGAAGTCTAGGAATTGTATACAATTCCTAGGAAATGTGTACAATTTCGAGGCTGTTTACGAAATCTATAATATATTGTTTCAAAGATATTTTAATACACACATATACTGGGAAATGTATACAGTGTTTACGCGGTTCGTTCTAGTGCAATCGCCTGATGTATATGCACTGGTGACGTTATTGTTTGGTTAGGTTAGGTTTGGAGATGTATATGCATAAGTGGCGTAAATCAGAAAGAATAAACAAGATGAGTTACAACAAGTTTGATACTGTCATCTTAATTCATGTTTAAATGAGACCATAAAAGAATTTATGGTTTTTGTAGATTTTCATGATTACCTCCAAAAATATATGAGGTTAGCTCAGAATTTAAAGGTCAATATTGGTGTATTTGCAATTTGTATAAGATTTGCCACTAAAATTTTCAATTGATTTATTGCTAATTGTTTCATAAAATCATTAATTAATTTTGTGTTTAACGCTGAAAGAAATTGTCTTTTGATGTAATAGTAGGATTAGAATTATAGAAAAATAGGAGACGATAAATTAGAAGAAGTTCCTGATTTTCAATATTTAAAGGGTCAGAACTCTGGATGAAAAAGCGCTAGAGATATCAAACAAAGAATAGTGCAAGGTCGAGACACTAATGTAGAGAGAATTAGTTGAAAATTATATTTCAATGCAAGTCACTAGTGAATAGTTCTAGTAAATTTATAATACATTTATAATAAAACTATTGGTAATACTATATATATGTTGGGCGTGGAAATCATAATGAACGTTGAAAAAATACGTGGTGGTCTATGATATATAAAATAGGCAATAATATGGCAGGTTGTTTGGAGATGTATATGCATTGGTGACGTTATTGTTTGGTTAGGTTAGGTTTGGAGATGTATATGCATTAGTGATGTTATTGTATGGTTATTAGGTAGATTTATGACAGATTGGAGTTCCTTTAATGCCCCTGCCAGCCGGAGGCGGCCTAATATATTGGAATAATATCTTCGAAAAGTTTGCTTCATTATGATCACCGCGCCCAACATATATACATGAAAGTGATAAACATTATCATCACTACAACATGCTAAAAACTCAAGGTCATCGTGTTTGCTGAAACAAAGATAACCTCGCCACATTACTCTACCATCAGCAGTGACACTAACAAAACGCCAATCTGTCATAAATCTCCCTAACGTAACGTCACCAATGAACATAGGTATATCTCTAAAATACCTGCCGTATTATTGCCCATTTAGTACTACCTGTAATCATTTCCGATTGCCATTTAGGAAATCTATATATTTCATAGGAAATGTGTTTAATATAATTTATTTCACATATTTTCGGCCGATTTAAGGAATTACATACATTTCCTAGGAATTGTATACAATGACGGATTTCATACATTTCCTGTAACATATATACCAATCGCTGACAATATTCTCCGAGAAGTATGCATGCTTTCAGGATAAAAAGTACCCTGTTTGAGTGTAAGCTAATTCATGACGTATATAGCAAGTTTTACCCAAATCTGTTAAGTCGTTAAGTGACAAATATCCATGTAAACGTATGTAATTATACGGAATTAAAATAACAGGATAGAATTTAGTTTCTTCTTATATCGCATTTTGATCAAATCTACGTCTTATGTTTCGTTTTGTTTCGGAATAAATTGATATGCACTTGGTATTATCAAAAAGGTACGTAATTAATTAGTAATAGATACAATCGTTATATATATTATATCATTTCATGGAACGCCAAAATTAAAAGATCTTAGCACACCAAATGATAAACGGATTTATTAATTCGTATCTAAGGCATTTTTAAATTAAGTCCGGTCCTGCACTGTTCATTAGTGTATGTATGCAGGTATATGTATAAATTATACATACCTTACACTCTACTATCATTATTATTACCGTACAAATGATTCAGAAAATTTGTGGTATTCCTGCAGGTGCAACATCGGTTAATTAATTTCAAAAAATTTGAATAACGATAAATCAAATTTCTTAGGAAAACCGTTTTTAAACATAATTTTATATAGGCGATTTTATTATTTAGTTCCAGATATCTACTTAGGTACTAAGTTATATATTATTAACATCGTCAACCCTACGATACGCACATCCATTTTTTCCTAATCCGAATTAATCTTTGCGTTTGCATAAAACTAAAATATCCCACATGTTGATTGAAATTTGTAATGTAAGGAAAGCTTTAAGTGGTTTTATTGGTGATAATGGTAATAGTAGAATAATTTAACTAGCCATTATTTAAAAATCGTTTAATTGTTAGTTAAAACATGTTGAATATATTTTTTAAATAGAAATCCTGTTTAAATGTAAAGATAAATAGATTTATTTCTTATTTACTTTGCACGAAAGTTTTCTACACGAGGACTTTCCTTGCTGTATAATCAATGTTTCCACTGTTCTACCTCCTAATTCCTAGAGTGCGCCTCAGTTTCAAAATATCTGACTGAAACAACCTCTGATTCCGAAATAAGAAGTATCGCAACGTACAGATTTCAACCTTATCCTCTAATTTCTCACTATTTCCTAATAGATGTCAAAATGTACCTTTATGCATAGCAATATTTTTTATATCATACCTATTGAGATTTGCGTGTAAGAACTAATTCCTTAAAAACTGTTTCGTATGTGATTAAGATTTTGACTTTAACTTTAATTTTGACAAAATATCCAATTGCTGATCACCGATATTTAAGAAGTCAGATAACTGAGGATGTAAAAAATGCTAGAAATATAAAACAAAGAAAAGTTCAGAGTCGGGCTGCTTCTAATAAAAAGAAATCACTTTTTTATTCTGGATCGGTTAAAATATAAAAATTCGAAAACATTTGTATCATTATTAAGGGAGTAGGTTTGGAGCACAACTCTCAAAGCTGGAAGTTTTAGTTGTCATAAAAGTCAAAAAGAAATAGACGAGATGGGTAGGCTAGACATCGCCTCAGACATGAAGGTTTAGAAATAAGGAGGTAGTAAAAAGGGTAGAAGAATAGAGACTGTTATAAATGTTAATAAGAAATAGGCGGGGTACCTAGGTAGGACACCTCCGCAGACATGAAGGGTTAGAAAGGAGGAGGTATTACAAAGAGTAGGAGAATAGAGGCCATTATAGAAGTCAATAAGAAATAGACGAGACAGGTAGGCAGGACATCGCTTCAGACATGAAGGTTTAGAAATGACGAGGTAGTAGAAAGGGTAGGAAAATAAATACGGTTATAAACGTTAATAAGAAATAAGCGAGATAGGTGGTTGGAACACCGGCTCAGACTGAAAGGGATAGAAATGAGGAAGTACTGGAAAGAGTAGGAGAATAGAGACTATTATAAAAGTTAACAAGAATTGGACGAAATAGGTAGGCTGGACATCGTCTAAGACATGAAGATTTAGAAATGAGGAGGTAGTAGAAAGGGTGGGAAAATAGATACTGTTATAAAAGTTAATAAGGAATAAGGGAGATAGGTAGGTAGGCATTACATTTCCACAGGCATGAAGGTTTAGAATTGAAAAGAACGAGATAGGTAGGCTGGACATCGCTTCAGACATGAAATATTATTAAAAATGAGGAGGTAGTAAGAGAGGTAGGAAAATAGAAACTGTTATAGAATTTAATAAGAAATAAATGAGATAGGTAGGAACAACATCTCCGCAAACTTGAAGGGTTTGAAATGAAGAGGTATTAGAAAGAGTAGGAAATTAGAGATCGTTATAGAAGTCAATAGGAGATACACGACATAGGTAGGCAAAACACCTTCGAGGACATGGGTTAAATGTATTAAAAAGAGTAGGTAAATAGAGACTGTTATAGAAGTTAACAAGACATAGGCGAGATAGGTAGGTAGGTCATCGCTTTAGATATGACAGGCTAAAAATGAAGAAGTATTAGAAAGAATAGGAAAATAGAAACCGTTATAGAAGTTAATAAGAAATAAACAAGATAGGTAGGAAAAACACCTCCGCAAACATGAAGGGTTAGAAATGAGGAGGTATTAGAAAGAGTAGGAGAATTAGGATCTTTTTTTTAAATCAATATGGAACAGGCAAGAGAGGAAGGTAGGACATTGTCTCAAATAGGAAGGGTTATTTTGATAAATATTAAAAGCAGAAACAGAAATCATTAGAGGTACAGATAGATCAAGATAAGATTACTTACTTAAATAGTTGGAGATGTAGGTTGCTCTAGTTTGAGAGAAATATTACGATTGACTCAAGATAGGAAGAAGTGGCTTTGTCCAATCAGTCTTTGGGCTAAAGACCTAATGGTGAATATAATATAGATTTATGTAAT